TGTTTCTGAATAATCAAGCTGTTTTAATTCTTCCTTTAAAAAGAAGCACATTCAAAATTCTCTGACATATCTGGATCAGCAGCTATTAAGCCATTACTAAATAGAACAATGTCTACTTAAACACAAGTAATATCACAATGATAGTCAATCTGACAAACAAGATGGTTACTGACTGACTAATGGGCAAAGCAGGTACATATAGTACCAATACACACTGGGCAGGATGATGCTAACAGGGAGGGGACCTGGGTGGCCTGATGTATTGCACCAGAATGATGTATAAATTGAAACTTATGAAACATTTATTTCTCGATTTTTCCATTTAATATTTCTGAACTATAACTGACAACAGATAAGTGAAACCATCCAAAACAAAATTGAAAATAGATACTATATTTCTAACAGTCTGTTAATTTCACTAATGGAATCTAAAAAAAGAATTGTCATTTCAAAGTCCAACATGACATCAAACAAGATGTCATGAAACTACTCTGTATCTCACCCTATGGTTTTACAAGATGAATTTATATTTGCTTTTCATAGAAGAGTCCCTTAGACTAGCGTTTCCAAAAGTGTATTTTCAACGATTTTTATTAAGTTTTCCAAGAAATAAAAAGACAGGGAAAGGGATTAGGGACAAAGAGTGTCTATAGCCAAGGACATTGATTATTTAATTTATAATAAATTAAAATGTATGACTAGACAAAAATTTTTAAATCTTTGTTCCTGTTTATCAAAGTTTCAGGGCTTGCCGGTTAGCTCAGCTGTTTAAAGCACCTGCATGGGCAAACGCAGTCAGGCACAGGGGATGGTGGTTCGATCCCCAGCTCCACATGCCGTACTGGGCCTGCCGTTAAGGTAGGCTGAACAAGCCAAAAAAAAAAAAAAAAAAAAAAAAAAATCAAACAAACAAGCAAACAAATCATAAAAGCTTCAAATTATTTTAACTATTGTGACTTTTCATGAGTAGGAAAGGGGATGTAGATTATAATATGGGGCATTTATCAAATGACATTTGATAAATGTTAAAATTCATAAATATCAAAATGATAAAATTTATATTTATTTTGTGATGGTGCCTGTATTTTATTTTATTCTATTTTTTTATGTATTTAGTGCAGGGTCTATAGGGTCTCACTATGTAGATCGGACTCAGTGATTCTCCTGTTTTCAGTCTCCCAGGCACTGGGATTACAGGTGCGTGCCACCAAGTCCTGTCCCAGTCTTCATCTCAGTGCTGGGGCAGGGCCAGCACAGCAGGCCAGGGATGAAACTCCGCCACTGCGCTCTGCCTAAGCAGGCGCTTCAGTCCACTGAGCTATCTGGCCAGCCCTGGTTCCTGTATTTTAGAAATGTTTAACTTTGTAGATTTTGCCAAACTATAGTATTCTTTTTTTTTTCTCCGAATGCCTTCAGGGCAGGTTTGGCTGGCTTGAATTGTGGGGATTGAACCACAGCAACCTGAGGCTGACTGCTTTGTTGAAGCAGCCACTTAAAGAACTGAGCTAAGGGGCAGGCCCCCAAACTATAGTATTCTTAAGAAAAGATAAAATTTTCTGATTCATAAAATCATTGGCAAATTAAATTTTACATATAGTAATGATAGTATCAATGATGCACTATGAAAGCATTACAAATAGTTACACGTATGTGATGTTGTATTAGAAAAAAATATGTAATTACTTTAAAAAAAATATCAATCCGTGTCTCTCAGAGCCTTCATTTCCAGAAAGGACAAGACTAGTGCACAGAATGAAAAATAATGTGAATGAATTCATAGGAACTATACAGGAAGCAATAACTGAAGGTTATGTGGAACATGTAGCCATGCACTGTATGTAACAATATAGAGGGGAAAAATATAAGGTATGCAAGTTCCATTACGAGTGAAATTTCAAAATCTCTTTTAGTAAGTTAAGAAAGAGAAAAGTTTAAAAGAAGTCATTTCAACAGTGTGACCAAAAGGATGTTAAATAGCGGTAGCAAAAGGGTGGAGGGGGCCAGCCAAATAGTTCAGTGGATTAAAGCACCTTCAAACAGGCGCTGGAGCTGGGGATTCTATCCCTTGGCCTACTGTGCCGGCCCTGCCCCAGGGGCAGGTGGAGAGGGCAATTGCGACTGGGCATAGTGGCACATGCCTGTAATCCCAGTTCTGGGGAGGCTGTAAACAGACGGATCACTACGACTCCGATCTAGTAGTGAGACCCTGAACACCCTGTAGACCCTTCCCTAAAATTAAAAAAAAAAGGGGGGGGGGTGAAGGATCAGTGCAGACTAAAGTGCCTATTAAGGCAAAGTTAGGCACACACAGGGACAGTGGTTGGATCTCTGGCACCACATGCATTGCCAGCCCCACCCCCAGGACGGGCTGAGCCAGCCCCAGAGTCCAGGCCAGGTGACACACGCCTGTAATTCCAGCACTGGGGAGGCTGAAAACAGGAGGATCACTATAAGCCCAAGCTGCATAGTAAGATCCTGTAACAACCAAATACATTAAAAAATAAAATAAAAATAAAAGGGTGGAAGAATACAGCTAGAATTTAGAAAGCAAATTTTCTGTGCACAAACAAAAAATGAGATACTCTGTAGTAGTCCCACAGGAACACACAAAATAAAATTAGATTCTTACAGTTAATCTCTAGAGTAGTCAACCTTTCAAACCACCCCCAAAAGAGCAGATGCTTAGGGAAATAATGACTGAGTCAAGAACAATATGGTAATGGCTTTCAAGTTAGAGAGGTGGTTTGTGCTTGGGGTGGAGAATTACTGAAAGAGAAGTTATAAAAGTTTAGATAAAAGATGGCCATACCCTAAAATACAAAGTGAGGAAGAAAAAAGACTATTCAGAAAGCACAAAATTTTATAGTAGCTCAGACACAATTATGCACAGTTAAGCATGCACAGTTAACTGCCACAGTGAAATTTATGAAGAGGAGTCTTTGAACATAATATAGTAACTTTAAACATGAATTATAGTATCTCAAGACCAATGACATTACAACTTCAGCTATCTATAAATTATAGTATTAAAAGGTATAAGTATTTTACTAAATGTGCTGCCAGAGTAAGCACAAAAAAGGTATAAATAAAAATAAAAGATAATAGGAGGTTGGGAGAGATCTTTCTCAGACAGAAAGGTAACCAAAAGATGAAGAACAGGGAAAACAGGAGGGATGGGAGATTAAAAAAATTACAAAATATTATGTATATATGCAAACTTTACACAAAGAAGGTAAATATTATGTACTACAAACAATTACCCAAAAAAAGTAAAAAACAGATAAGTGAAGGGAACAAGGAGGTAATGGAAAAGGAATGAAAGAAGAAATTAAGATGTATTTAGTACATGTACCAACCCCTGACTAGAATGTAAACATTGTGTATTTCCAACACATACTACTAAAAAAAAAAAATTAAAAAAGAAAAAAATGCAAAACTATATTACTTTACCTCACAGAATACCCAGAAAGTTCTTCCAAAGTGCCATCAGTGTCCAGAGTCTGCTCATAATCTCTAACAGAGAGTTTACCACTGGTTCCAGATTTCTTTCCTTGGTGGGAACCATGTTCTGAGCTGGACTGTACCTTTTCTTCATCAATGAGTGAGTTCTGAACATTTCCAATTAATGAATCTGACCCTGTAGAGGAAATTTCTTATAAAGCTGATTTCTAATATTAGAGAAACTAAGACAGGTTTTTGTTTTTGTCTTTAATTTTAAAGCCAACTCTGAACCAGACCTGGTGATGCACATGTGTAACCCCAGTACCTGGCAGCCACAAGTTTGAGGCCAGCTTGGGCTACACAGTGAATTCAAGGTCATCCTAAACTACACAGCATGGCTGTCTCAAGAAACAACAACAACAAAAAATTCTGATTTCTGATATATGCCAAACCAGACATGAACTTTCAACACATTATATGCGAAGTCTAATTCCTAAACAGTTATTATAAAATTCTACATATCCTTTCCTTTCTGGTTCCCCAGCCATCTTGGTGGCTGCTCCTGGTTGAGGGCCATCCACACCTAAGACTGGAAGATGGTGGCCTCAAAGAAAACAAAAAAATCTCTGGAGTCCATCAACTCTAAGCTCCAACTTGTTATGAAAAGTGGAAAATACGTGCTGGGGCACAAGCAGACGCTGAAGATGATTGGACAGGGCAAAGCGAAATTGGTCATCCTTGCCAACAACTGCCCAGCTTTGAGGAAATCTGAAATAGAGTACTATGCTATGTTGGCCAAACCTGATGTCCACCACTACAGCGGCAATAATATCGAACTGGGCACAGCATATGGAAAATAGTACAGAGTATGCACACTGGCAATCATGGATCCAGGAGAGTCTGATATCATTAGAAGCACGCCAGAACAGACCGGGGAAAAAGAAACCAAGGAATTTTTCATTAATAAAACCTGCCACAGCTTGTTTAAAAAAAAAAAAAAATAAATAAATAAATAAATAAATAAAATTCTACATAGTCAAACTCATAAAGACAGAAAGTAGGACAGTTGTTATCAGCCTGGTGGAGAAAGGAATGAATAGACATTGTTTAATGGACATAAGAGTTTCAGTATGGGAAGATGAAAGTTTTTGCAATGGACAGCAGTGATGGATGCATGACTGATGTATAGTATTACTGAAAAATACACCTAAAAAGGATTAGAATAACAAATTTTATATTATATATATTTTATCACAATAAAAATAAAATCAGTTTTTAAAATGTTAACATTGGTTATCTCTAGGCAGAAGGATAACTGGCAACATTTTATTTTCAAATACAATGTTCTATATATTCATATCCTTCCCTACTTCTTTCTCCTACTCTTACTACTCACCACCTTTTTTTATCTCAAGGAGCAGAATTTACTTTTACAAGTAGAATAAACAATTTTGGAGGAAAATCATACTCTAGTTTGAGGCCATAATATGAGTTTAAGAGGCTTTTGCATAATCCTCTCCTCAAATATGCGCCTATAGAAAAATTAGTCAGTGATCTTCAGAGATGTGTAAAATATATTATAAAATGTTTTGGTTTTGTAGCAATAAACTCGACATATTAATTAAATTATCATTTAAATTAAAAAGTGCAGGTCTTGCTAGTTCAGGTTGGCCCTGACTTGCTATGAAGCCTAGACTAGTCTTAAACTCCCAGCAATCATCCTGCCTCACCCTTCTGAGTGCTGTGATTATAAGCACCTATCACTATGGGTGTTATAATGGTTTTTAAAGAGCAGTTTCAAAGGCAGTATTATGTGCATTTGTTTTTTCAGTAAAGGTATGTGTGTACGTGTGTGGTTTTATGCGTATTTTAGAAAAACAGACACGAAAAACATTCAGTTCTTTCTTTCCTTTCCTTTCTTTTCCTTTCCTTCCACATAGTGATCCCCCTACTTTCAGCCTCTGGGATTACAGGTGTGCGCCACTAAGCCTGGTCTCGGCAGTAGGCTCAGCATGCCTGGGGGTGGGACCAGTGGTCCCTATGCTTGCCTAAGCAGGCACTTAGTCCGCTGAGCTCTCTCACTGGTCCTGCTGTTATTTCTGAATAGAATGATTATGGGGGATTTGTATTTCTTGGATGATTGTTTATCTGTAATTCTTAATTTTTTAAAATAATATATGCACTTTGTATTAAGAAAAAGATTTACAATGCTATATTTCAAATGGTACATATTACAGTAATAAATATGAAAGTCTACTACATTATCATAAAGAAATTCCTCTTCTTGTGGAACCAAACCATAATTTTGGATCACTACCATAAAATAGTTGTTAGTACACAAGTCACCATGTAAAATTCCACTTACATTCTGTCTTTTCCTTTTTTTCTTTCTTTCCTTTTGAAGAAGTAGATGAACGAGACGAAGCAACAGACTGGGCTCCTGATGAATGCTGGGAGGCAACATCCATGCAGGAAAGATCATAGGCAGACTTTCTGCTAGAATGGTCCTCCTGAATACCTAAACTGTTGCCCCCAATACTGTCAAAGAAAAATAACGGTTAAAAAGAGACTACAAATTTTATTTCAGAGCACTCAGAGCCTGCAGAATAGGCAGCATGAGTAAAGTTCAGCCTCTAGAGCTGAAAAAAAATGTATGTACAAGTTATCATTTAAATTGTGGCAGACATGTCCAAACATTGTAGAGATTTGATTGATCCCTTTATGAATACTGTGATAGGTCACAGAAACTAACAGACAACATAGTATTGAACTGGTAGTGATAACATAAGGAAATAGGATACATCATTAGAAGTTTTGGAACTAGTGTAAGTAATGGCTGTTTAGCAGAGACGTCTGTTCCTTCTCTCCAAAAGACCTGTTCTACTATGATAAAAAGATCAAGTTGTGTACATTTTCACATTAAATGTCTTACAAACTTTTTACAAGTTCAAAAAAATCTTTTTGTAAGTTTAAACAGCTTTAACTTTAAAGATAGCTAAATGAAAACATTTTCAAAAATCTTTTTTAATAACAAGAATTTAAAAACAGTAAAAGATGGCTTTCATTTTACTTTTCGTTTTGCTTACTATCATAAGTGTGAATTATTCCTGGCTCAAATTACAGTTGAGAAAAATCTCCCCGGTTCCACAAAAAAAAAAGAAAAGAAAAGAAAAATCTCAAATGAGTTTTTTGCTGAAATGACATCAATGAAAGCTAGTACTTTTGACATTGAAAAAAATATAATGTCAAATACTAGAATAGGTGGCTGTAACTTCTATTAGAATTATAATTTTTTACATTATAACTATTTTCTCTTTAATAATGTTATGGAGAACAAGGACTTAGCATGTTTTAACCAGAAATAACATTCATCAAATCATACTGATTAGTGGTAGTAAATGTAACCACAATCAAATTATTAAAATGTTTTTATTTAGAAATTTAACTTTCTGGGCATGGTGATACACATCTGTAATCCCAGCTACTAAGGAGGCTTAGGGCAGAGCATGGCAAGTTTGAGGCCAGTCAGAACAACTTAGCAAGATCCTGTCTCAAAATAAAACATATAAAGGGTCAGTGGAATAGCTCAGTGGTAGTGCATTCCTCAGTTCCATCCCCAGTACTGAAAAAAAAAATCTTATCTTTACAGCTCAAAATTTTAATTATGTTTTTATTCTTATAATTTTAATATCTGTAGCTGGGCTGAGGATACAGTTCAGTGAAGTAGCACCTGCCTAGCCTGCACAAAAACCCAAGTTCAATCACTAGAACTACAAATTAAAAAAATTTCAAACCAAACAATAAAACTACTTATGTTAATTTAAGTTCAACTAATTTTCATAAGATCATCTACTAATTGTATACAGACTATAATTTGTAGTAAGTAACAATATACAGAATATAAACAGTTGTTAATTTAAGTTCAACTAATTTTCATAAGATCATCTACTAATTGTATACAGACTATAATTTGTAGTATGTAACAATATACAGAATATGAATAGCTGTAGATCAATTTATATGATAATAAAATTTAGGAAGGAAATTTATTTTAGCCAAGTATCATTCACATAGTGACTACATACAAGTAACTTAACTATGTGTCAAGTTTCTTTCTAAAACAAAGAAGTAATAACAAAAACACTTTATATCAGGTTATTATAAAGATGAATTAAGACAGGTAAAGTTCCTCATGTTTCTGAGTGTCTTATATGTTAAGTTTTCAGTAGTTACTAGATATGACAACTGCTGTAATTAATCTTTAAGTCTCTGTAAAGTTTTGTGTATTTTCCTAGTTTAAAAATGTACTCATATCTTGGGATTATGGGGTCAAGTATCTATTTGACCTTCCTCAATTCTATCACTGAAAACTATTTCTTAAGCTTCTGACATCAGTATACCATAGGATGTCCCCCAGTATTATCCTCAATGATTGATGTGACAACCTATACTCTTCATAGTATGTGACATGCCCTGTTTTAAATACTCTACATTTGACTGTATATTCCTAACAACTCTGTGAGGAAGTGATAGTATTATTATTATCCTCATTTTTAAAGAGAAGAAAATTACGACACAAGTTTAAATAATATGTGCAAATAAAAGCCAGAAAGCCAAGAATGAAACTCAAGCAGTCTAGATCCAGAGTCCATGATCTTCTCACTAGGCTATATACAGTACCTTCTGTATGTATCTTTCAACAAGCAAAAACTAATATTCAGACGACAGGTGGCATGTGTACTTTTTTTTTGACTCAAGACTTTATCCCACATTGCCAATATTGTCTTACTTAGTTTCAAGAGTTGATGTTTTTTCCGTCAAAGTCCCACTGCCTGGAGAGGAGACAAAATCATCCTCATAGGAAATACTACTTAGAGGGGTTGTGATGGCATTCAAAGGCTGTGATGCTGATATTCCTCTGTCTAATCTGTCTTCAAGCCCTGCCAAAAGCAATGATTGAAGGATGGTTAATTATAAGCAAAACATTCTATAATAGGGAGATTAATAACACAGACCTTGGGTCAATTTAGTTGGCTTTTAACTTCAACTTTACCTTGTAATCTAACAACATATTTTTAATTTTTTATGAAGAAAAATTTTAAATGTAGTAAAAAGTAAAACAGCATAATGAAACTAATATATCCATCACCTACCCATAACTAAAACATAAACAATCTAATTTCATTTAAACTACCTATTCCTCTCATTTCCTATGCCCCCACCAATTATTTTAAAGCAAATCCCAATACATATCATGTCATCTCTAAATATTTCAGTAAATCTATAAAATCATAATGAAAATATAGAACTTAATAGCTTAATATTCTTATAAAACAGGGCCAGCAAGATAACTCAGCAGACTAAGAGCCTGCTTAGGCAAGTACAAGGACCAGGGCTCAATCCCTGGCACCACATGCTGCAACCCCAGGCAGGCTGAGCTGGCCACCAAAACCGGGTATGCAGGCACACACCTGTAATCCCAGCGCTGAGAAGGCTGAAAACAGGAGATTACTACGAGTTGGAGCTGCATAGTGAGACCCTGTACCAAATACATTTTTTAAAAAGTGTTGATTTAAGTACTTTGCTTTCATCAAAAAAAAAAAAACTTTAAAAAAATTTAAATTACTGCAAATGAAATAAATGCCTAAACAAAAGAGATGAATAACAATATGCACAAGGTAATAATGAAGTGTCTAAATATTAATTATAGGAAAAACAATGTGATGTCCAGTAAGACAAGCAGATGGAATCAGTTTATCAAATAATTAGTTAAGTGGTGCATAAATCCCTAACTTAGAAATTCTAAGGTTACAGTCATGTGAGTTGGACAGATTCCAACAATAACAGCAACAATGAAAAAAAAAAGAATTGAGTCTATCACAGAAAAGGAAAATTGTGCTATAGGAATTCAGGAATAAGAAGAAAACTATAGAAGGTATTGTCCTAGGATTTAACTATACAGCTGTAACTGTCCAAAGTTGACTGTTTTTAGCTCAGTCCCACAAGCGACACCTGGACACCAGTAAGTGTTGTGGACATCATCCACGTCCACAACACACTAGAACTTTGTGCAATATCCTATCTCCAAACTGTTAGAAATGCTGGTCATTTATTTGTCATTCCAGTATTTATCTTATGTTTTATTCTTAGTAATTCTTTACTATCATGAAAACGTTTTCTTAGTTCAATTGTTTTGAAACATTTAATTTTTAATTAATTAGTATTTATTTTTCTGAATATTGCTTAATCTTAATTTTTGTTTTAAGATTTATACTGTAGGAGACGACCTAGGCCGCGGGATCCTGAATAGACCCAGAGCGCAGGCCCAGGAGTGAGTGAGACGGCCCAGGCCACGGGATCCTGAACAGACCCAGAGCGCAGGCCCGGCGAGTGAGTGAGATGACCCAGGCCGCGGGATCCTGAACAGACCCGGAGCATAGGCCCGGCGAGTAAGTGAGACGACCAGGGCCGCGGGATCCTAAACAGACCCGGAGCATAGGCCCGGCGAGTGAGTGAGACGACCCAGGGCCAGGTGGGATCCTGAATAGACCCAGAGCGCAGGCCCAGCACAGAA